TTTTATAGTCTCTCAAGAGATAGCAACCTAAACTAATAATGAAGTCAGCCATTTATTATTTATTTATTTTTTCCTATTTGGCTTTTCATCATTGGAGATGAAAATAAAGTTAGATACAAGTCAAACAACATCACGACAAGGACAAAAATCTTATCCGTGAGATAACCGATGAGGTGTCTGTGTGGAAGAAAGATCTGTCACCGAACCCGCCGGAACTGAAAAATGCTCCAACGTATTCCAAGCCTCTTGTGATTCTTCTGCAAACATCTACCTTCATTAAGTCCTGACAGTTCATTCTTAATGTTGCCGATTTTCAAGTTTGCCGGAACAGTATTGTTAATGCACTCAATATGACTCGAAGCACTTTATACACTTGCTTTATTTATCTATCAAATCAATAATCAGGAATGTAATAAAAACAGACAGTGTGTAATCTGCACATCATAATCCTACTCACTCTGCATGAGCCCAGCCCAAACACATCTGTTAATTACTTATAATAAATATAAGAATAGTATTAAGCAACAATCAGTGCATGATAGGCCGCAATATACACAGAAACCTTTGCACTATTGTTAAGTTCAAAAACAGTCACAGCTGCAGTTTTGTGTGCGTCATCCGCCTGACCTGGCCCATCAAGAGCTCCACGTCTGTAATACAGTACTTAATATTTAAAATGTACTTTTTCATTTAGCACTCTTTGCAATTTTGATTTAAAGGTTTAACATTAAAGTGCATTTTTTATTCCATGGAAAATTTTAATTTAAAAAAAATGGAAAACAAATAGACCTCAGCTTTGATCAGCTCTGATCAGATGCATCTCAAAAACTCACAATATCTTTGGAAAAATTCAAAGTTTTCTCTCAGTTATTTAAGAAAGTGAAATTGTTACGTATTCTAGACTCGCTATACAGAAACTGCAATGTGATAACTCAGAGTTTACAGCTCAAAGAATTATTGAATGAAAAGTATTCAAAGATTTCATTTGGGGTTTGGGTGAATTATTATTTAAACAGTGTAAATACTGTGTACCTCTTGGTCTAATTCAGTACACGCAACCACAATCATGGGGAAGCCGGCTGACTTCACAGTTGCCCAGATGATGATCATCGACATCCTCCACGAGCAGGGTGAACCACAGGAGGTCACAGCTGAAAAGGCTGGCTGTTCTCAGAGTGCGGTATAGAAGCACATCAACAAAAAGCTGACTGGAAGGGAAAAGGCGCACAAGCACCTTCAGCCTTAAGGTGACTGTGAAGAAAAGTTAATTCAAGAACTTGGGAGAGCTTCAAGAGGAGTGAACTTAGACTGGTGTCTGCATCTACAGCCACCGGGAACAGAGGTCCTCAGGAAAGGAGCGACGAGAGTCATAATAGGAAGCCACACCTGAACCAGGGATTCAGAAATGTCTTACCTGAGCTAACGAGAAAACGAACTGCTCAGCGGTCCAGAATCCTCTTTTAAAACAGAAGTAAATCTGACAGAGTCTGGATGAAGAGCAGAGAGGCAAAGAACCCGAGGTGTTTGTAATCCAGTGTAAAGTTTCTGCAGTCTGTGATCTGCTGGCATCGGTGGTGGTTGGTCCACTTTATTTTTTGTCAGATTCAAGGTCAACACAGCCATCTACTATTAGAGCTTGATTGGCCAGCCAACTCACCTGATTCAAACACCACAAAGAATCTATAGAAGAAGGTGAGACAACCCAAAAACAAGGGGAGCTGGAGCCCACTATCAAAGCAACCTGGGCTTCAGTAACACCTCAGCACTGCCACAGACTGAACTCACACATGCACAAATTCATGGTAAAGGAGCAGAAACCAAGTAGAGTGCATAAATGAAGACGATAAGAGATGAGATTGGTCTCTTCCAGATTTGATAAGGATAGAAATCATAAACTACACCCTTCGTAGTTATCAGATCTGATATGAGACAATATCTTTTAGCTAAAGTTGTTAATTCCTCCAGTGGAGCTTGTGGACAACCAGCAGATGTGCATAAAAGCAGTTCTGTCCAAACACCTTACCAACGGCCTTTATATTGGCTTTTCCTTTAACTTTCCCTTTATCTGTATATAAAACCACTTTATCACCATTAAAAAGTCACTAAAAGTGAACACACAGTGCTTCTCTGTGCCAGGAAAACTTGTAGGGGCAGATATGAAATAAATAAAACTGAAACACTGCTGCACTCTGCAAGAATCTGACACTCTATGTAAGCAATGGCTTCCCAACAGCTTGATCTTAAATATATTGGAGTGTCCAAATCAAATCAAAGCCAGTCCTGAATGTGTAGCGGGGATTTAGCCGAGCTGTTCAAGTACAGATGTGCAACATGACAGCTTAAACCCTTCAGCACATGCAGCCCACACAGACCCAGGTGTGTGAATCCTCTAAAAGGTGTCTCCACCACATGCCAGCCCCACTTGAGCCATATTTAACAAATCCGACAACCAAAGCGATAAACGCGCTGCTTTAAATGCGAAAATTTCAACTGTTGATGTTTGAGTGTAAGAGCAGAAAAAACACAGATTTCCACGGTTTTAATCACAGCCTATCGGGCATGATCAGTGGACGCAAAGCACTTTCCAGTCTCTCTAACTTTCACCAACATGGCTCAAAGTCGTCAAAAAGTTTCGCAAGCTGTCGCTAAACTGAGATTTGGCGCATTTTTTTGCTGAAAGCGTCCAAAAACGTTACAATCATCGCGTAAACGAGCGTGGATTCATGCGAGCTGCCGACTTACCGATGCCTCCACTCTCTCTGCTGGATCAGATCAGCCCCTGCATGGTGGAGCTGCTGCATTAAAGTTTGCTTGGATGCCCTCTGCAGCCCGCAAACACTGCGGATCGTGCAGCGAGTGTCTGGAGAAACGCGCGGTGGACACAGCAAGAGATCCACGCTGCGAGGCGACCCGGACCGTCCCAAACCGGTCCATTTACAAGGAAGTGGGGAAAACAGGATGTGAGGTCACTGAAGGACACCGCTTTTGGGGCGAATTTCTGCAAGTTGCAACGAATCGTGTGCAAGGCTGACTCGCAGTATTCAGACTGGTTATTCGTGGTTTGATATTGGGGCACGTTTAGCCGTGAGGGTGGTGTTGTTTCAGCACGGAGGCCGCTAAGAAGCTGAAGTTTCACCAAGTTAACCTTTTATCTCTTTATTGCAGATGTTAAAAATAAAACACACAAAAAAACTTGGTTTTGTTTCAAAAATCTATTTCATCATCTTATCAAATCGTAATAAACGTTTTGACATGAAATGACGTTACATGAGTGCCAACAAGGCGGGCTTCTTTCATGAGTTTTTATATATTTATAAGATGAACGGTTTAAAGTGCAAAATATGACAACTGAATTTAAAGCTGTCAGATGCACGAGTATTGACCATTTTACAGAAACACACAGGCTTCACATTAAATCAAGAGAAAAGAAGTCATATATGCAAAGTTCAGCATCCTGCGATCCACCTCTGCGTCCTTTTCCTGAAACAAACATATACATAAACTTAGTTTCCATTTGATCTGAATCAAAGCTAAATAGCCAATTAAAATTTAGGTCAAAGCACAAAATGATAAAAAAGTAAACTCCAAATTAAATCCTTATCTGGACAGGTTTTAGTTTAAGTTTAATAATAGCTGAATTAAATAGCTGAATAGCTGAACAGTCTTAGTCTGTTGTCTTGAATATATCTACATATGATTTTGCAGATTTGTAGTACTGCAAGCTTTCCATTTGTAGTCTGGCACATGTTGTGCAATGTCATTTTTCACTGTGCCACAGCAGTCTGTCCCAGCACCAAGCAAAGTGCAAGCTGGGCACAGCTCAGTCATGTAGCTTGTTGCGGGTCAGCAATGTGTGTAAACAGCTTAAATTTGTTAGTGTTACTCCAAAAAGCTCTGCAGATCTACTAAAGCTCTGCCTGCTTTGCTCTATCCTTCCCTCAGAATGCCGAACCCAGCAGCGAGCACAGCGCTTGTTAAAACCTACAAAAGTCATCAGATCATCAGAAGGACGCACAGAATGATTGTCTAAAACAAAGTCGGTCCATAGTGAGCACCAAGTGTAAAATGATGTCATTTTGAGTTTTATGGGAGTTTTATGTTTTAAAAGAGTTGGAACAGGGCAACAAGAGGCTAAAAGATTAAGCGGTACTAAAAAGAAACACCTGGAGGAACAATTTAAAATGAATTGTGTTAATCAGCAGCAGGTCAGTAACGTGATTTGGTTTAAAAAGAGTATCTTAGAGAGGCAGAAGTTCTCAGACGTAAAGACGGGCAGAGGTTCACCGTTCTGAAATTCTCTATTCTTTAAATATCTCATCATCTACAGTACATAATATCTTCAAAATAATCTGGAGAAATCTGTGTGTGTGCAAACTATAATACACCATCTGCGAATGGACCTCAGGCGGCACTACTGTCGTCTTCTCTCAGCTAAGTTCAGCTCTGATGGTATGGGGGTGCATTAGTGCTCTGGAACTGCCAGATTGCACATCAGGAAAAGCACCATCAATGCTGAGAGCTATATACAGGTATTAGAGCAACATATGCTCCAATCCAGAAGACGTGTTTTTCAGGGAAAGTCTTGCATACTTAAGTAGGATAATGTTAACGCGCGTGCTGCATCTATTACAGCAGCGCAGCTCCATAGTGACGATCTGGACTGGCCTGTTGAGCAGCTACAATCACCGAGACAACAATAGGACGACATTCTTCTCCCAAATTCAGCAGCTGGTCTCCTCAGTTCCCAGATGTTTATGCGCTGTTGCTTAAAGAAGACTGGATGCTACACAGTGGTAAACACGAGCATGTCACGTTGCTGCCGTCAAACTCAAACAGATTTTTCTTTCTTAAAATGATAAATGTCTTCAGTTTAAATATTTGACAGGTTTTCTATGTTCTTTTTCTGTGTTGTTGTTATTTGGCGATATATAAAAATAAAAATGAACTGAATTGTTCTACTCTGAATAAAATATAGATTTACGAGATTTGAAAATCACTGGATTTTATTTTTTTGCTTACATTTTACACAGTGGCCCAACTTTTTTGGTACTGGATTTGAATTAGGTACATTATTCTTTACATACTTTTCATGTCGGTGTAGAAAATCTAACCCAAAGTGAAAATAGCATCATTAAGTTGTACTCGCTAACAAACAAGAAGAAAAACTCTGTGGACTACAGTGGATTTAATTCAGGGTTTGAGCAAAGAAGCAAAACAAAAACAAAACAATGAAGTAAAAGACAGTAAAGCGCTACAGTGAAGCTAAAGGGGACTTCATCCCTCTGTGTGTGATCACACAGTCTACACTATAGTCTGCTGACCTCTCCATAATGAGCATTTTATGAGGCAGTAGGTTACGTCTTTCCTCCTGTCCTCGCTCTTCCACCTGTCAACTTTCTTCCTTCTTTGCCAGCTTACAGACCTGCAGACTTTCCATCGGGATCCCCCTCCAAGCCTCCTTAGGCTCGCCGACTTTTTTTACCCTTGGGATATGCATAAGCGATAGTCACTTTGCAGCCATCTAGCTCGCAGTCCTCCATAGCCTCTTTAGCAGCTTTGCAACTTTCATCGCTGCCAAAGTTCACAAAGCCGAACCTGACGAAAATGAAATGTAAAATGCATCCAAGTGAGAATCGTGAACTCAGTTTAAGCAGTTAACACAGTAAAGAGACAGCTTCGCACTACAGACCTCTTTGAAACGTCTTTCTTATTTACAGTGACTCTTGCGTTGACGGCTCCTTCAAAGACACTTTTGAGCATCTCTGGACTCGTCTTCTCAGCGAGGCCCATGACGATCAGTGTTTTTGACAGGACTAGAAAAGAAACATTTAATAATTTAACGCCGCTGTTTTACTCAAACTGACATCACAAACGCCACACTTCTGTAATCAAGCAGCCAATCTGATAACATCAAGATAATGAGATGATACCCTTTGCTTTCTCTGGCTTTTCACACGATTCTTCTTTGGCTTCTTTTTTGCCAGCCTCAATATTTTGGGATGACTGCAAGGCCTTTTTATCTGTAAGGAGGTCAGAACATGCAAAGTCCACATTAAATTTACTAAAAAAGAATATTCAAACAGCTTCACTGATTTCACTTACCTTTTTTCCTTTTGTTTTCCACATCAGCTTTAGTGACTCTACAAGCACCTTTTTCTCCTACACAGTTCAAAATCAAAACCCTCTTTCGGATCGTCACTCCTTGTTTTTGCTTCTGTACCTTCCTAGCAATGCTTGTGTTTTTGAACTCCAAAAAGGCAATTCTGTTGAAAAATAAAGACATTTCACTTAGAACTTGTTATAAACAATCTTTAAAAATGCACCTATTATATTAATTTTAAGCTTAATATCTTTAATGTTATCTCTTTGAACTCTCGTAGAAAGCTTTGCCTGATTCCCTTTTAAAAAAACCATTAATGATCTAATACTAAGCCTTAGCGCATTCACTAACAGCCTTTACGCTAACCTGGTTCTGATTGGCTCTTCGTCATAAACAAAAGGATTAAACAGCAGGTGGGTGGGGCTTTTGCCATAGCCATTGCAAGAGGACCATATAAGGATATCCCCTCTTGGTGGCGTCATCATACTACGAGTTTAAAGCAGATTCAAGCTTCAACTTTTAGCTCACAGGGATTACTTGTACACATTATGACCTCATCATTAGAATCTCAGCTTTAATATAAACTTCCACCATTCTAACATGAAAGCATAATAGGTCCCCCTTTCAAAGCATAAACAAGTAATGAATGACTTCCTCATCTGACAACTTCCTGTTCAAAACTCTCACCCTTGGGTTGGGCCTTCTGTTCCACCAGGAAACCGGATGGCGATGGCCTTGTGGAAGACCTTCAGAATGTCTTCCTTCGTTGCGTTGTAAGGCAAGTTCTTTACAAACAAACATCTGGCATCTCTGGCTGCAAAAATACAGGAAAGTTCCACTTTTTTTAAATATATAAAGCTTATATTACTATTTTGATCCTCACAATGTTTTATATTTTAAACTCACTAAGAAAGTATTTACAAAGGTTCCTGCTAATGACCATTGCCACAGATTCCTATAGGACTGGAAGGCTCAAGGAACTTCCACATTGGTTTTTCACTACCAGAGGCCAGATCCATCTCTTATACTATGTGACAAATGCACATTCTTAAAGTTCGATAAGAAGTTCATTAATTTAATCAACGCACATTAAACAAATCTATTTGGTCATTTTTACCTTGCTTTTTTAGTTCAGGAGATTTCACCTTCACTTTTTCTGCACTTTTGATCTTTGCTTTGGCGATCTTCATTGGTTTATCGAGCAGCACCTCCCCATTTGATGTCAAGGCTTTAGTCAGGTCCATTTCTGAGAGCAAATCTACAAATGCATGTTTCCTGTAACAGCAGAAAATCACTTTATGTACTTTATGTAGCAGCAATAAATAAATAAATAAAATGAAAATAAAAAAATAAAGCATAAATTAAGAAAACATACTCACCTGGATTGGTCCAATCTGATGTCTTTGAACAGAAGATTTTGTGACATGAGATATTTTTCTAGTGACTCTTTCAGTTCTTCAGAATTTTTAGAGCTGTTGAGGTTTCCAACGAAAAGACAAAATCCTAAAGAGGAATAAAGCAGCGAGATGTGTAAAGGCGTCTTCAGGATCACTGGATATCTTACAAGACAAGCAGTAATGAGTTCATACCATCATTGATGCGCTTTGCTTTCTTTGATGGGGAATCCTCAATGACGGTTTCTGCCTTCCTTTTACCATTTACTGCAGGAGATAGAAAATGTGGTAACCGCCATCGTCCTGGGCTTTGGTCAAGGTTTTTCAGCTTATGGACTTTGTATTCTTGTTTATTTATTTTTTCATCTTCTATTCCTTTAGTAATTTGAGTCCTGATTTTTGGATTAAGTTTACTTTTTTCTTTGATGGAATTTGTGAGGATGTTGTCATTTTCTTTGGACAACCCACCTCACCAATACAGCGGTGCTTTCTTTTTACTAAGGCTACGTCCACACGTACACGGGTATTTTTGAAAACGGAGATTTTCTGTTTTCGTTTTAAAAAATAATCCTGTCCACACGTAAACGCAGAAATGAAGGAAAACGCTGCTAGGAACATGCCAAAGCAGCAGGTGGCGCTATAGTCCTATCCGTGTAGAAATGTTGGTCAATCAGAAGTCAATAAACCTGGGTGGGAAAGAGTAAACAAAGATGGCGCATAGAAGCAGAATGTGTATGCATATGTAAGCATTTAAACACTGCAGAGAGTAAAATTAACAGTAACAGTATTTTGTCTACGTCCGCCATTGTATAAATTCATTTCACCGAAACAATAACGTGACGCACAGTGTGACGTCAAAAAATGCGCACACCTTTGACGCTGCGTTTTCTCCGTTTACCACGTCCACACGTAAATGCAAAAACTGAGTTTTCGAAAATATCCACCCTGGCAGGAGTTTTTAAAAATCTCAGTTTTCAGTGACCGAAAACGCCGTTTACGTGTGGACCGAAGGCGCAAACGCATAGAAAAATCTGCGTTTTCAAAAATACCCGGGTACGTGTGGACTCTCTGCAGACAGACTTAGGCTACCTAAGTCTGTCTGCAGAGAGTGTATTTGAGTCCTCTCATTTAACGCTATATGGCACAATGAGACAACAAGCAACCAAGAGGAGAGAGAGAAACTATAAAAACACAGACAGTAATGAGGGAAAGGGGAACAGGAAGGCAACTAAACACAGCTGCAAATTATCAGGAATTTTTCAAAGGACGTAGATGCTAAACAAAAGAAGTGACTATCAAAAAGAAACAGGAAGTGAGAACTGTAACTAAACAGCAAAACAAAGACAACAGTAAACTTGACATAAAGGAAAGATGCAGAAGTCAGGCAAAGAGGAAATTATGAGACAATAAAACTCTTAATAAAAACAGCAAATTAAACTAACAACTAAGGAAATATTGCAAGAAAAATTAAATAAACTAAATAAAAAGCAAATGAAGATTATTTAAGAAAAAACAACCATGAAAAACTCATGTCTGAAACGTCATGTCTGATATCAATTAACTGTACTATTTTACCTTTTTTGTCCAGTGAGCGTGCGTTCACCTTCGCCTTGTCCTCACTTGTGATCTTTACTTTGGTGATTTTCATTGGCTTATCGAGAAGGATCTCTCCATTTAACGCCAACGCTTTCGTCAAGTCCATTTCGGTGGCCAAATCTAGAAAAGCATGTTTCCTACAACAGCACACATTCATATCAGTTATTTCATCTAGCAGCAAAATTTACAAAACACAGAAAATATTTTTTAAGAGGGGCAAAGAAAAGGTTTTGATGTTTTTCTTGTGCATACTTTCATTTTCCACACTGCTAATTTTTGGGGGCTTTTATGAAGTGTTAAATATGCAACTTGTTAACTTGACAAGTTATAATGCACTCTCAACTGTCAGCCTGTCCATCACCACTGCAAACTCCTCGATCAACACTCTCAAAGCAAACACCACATCTGCAGTGCTCTTTCTCAGCATGAAGCCATAGTGCTGCTCACTGGTCATCACCGCCCTCCTTGACACAGCTCAGGACGAACTGCCTTTCTCCTTATCCATGAACTTACAGCTTAGATTTAACACAGCAGCTACATGCTGAACATTTTTGTCTTTGTGATTTAACCAAAAAGTCGGCTCCCTTTATGAGCAATGACCGTCAGCAAAACTGTTAAGTTACGTTAACACAAAAGATGAATATTGTGCAAATTTTAGGTCAGTTTTGAGAATGCAAATACGTTTCCAAGAAGTCACACGGGACTTTCACAGCAACCTAAAAATAACACTGGAATTTGTCCCACAGTGCAGGAGAAGACCGTTAAATTCAGATCAGGCACATTTGTTGCTTTCACAGGCAAAGAGGTTTTTCATCACACCTTTTAGAGGACTTAACATGAAAAAAACTAATCACATAAACAAAGAAACAAACAGAAACACTCACCTGGATTGGGCTAATTGAATGTCTTGAAACAGAAGGCTTTGCGACATGAAGTATTTTTCTAGTGACACGTTGACTTCTTGATAGGTTTTAGTTTTGTTCAGGTTGCCAACACAAATACGAAATCCTAAAGAAGAATAAAGGGATGAAACATGTGAAGGCGAAGCCTCTCCAGGAATACGAGGTAATGTACAAGATAAAGATGAGTCCTCACCATCGTTGTTCACCTTAGATTTCTTGGATGGGCGATTCTTAACTGCTTTTTGTTTCCCATTTACTGCACAGGACAGAAAGTATTACAGATGTTAAATGGACTTTTCTACTTTAACTGCACTCTAAGAACATTTTTTACCAAAAGCCTCATTCACCCAGTAACACACACACGGTTACTGGGTGAATGGATGCAGTGTGGGCTACTTAGGGTTCAGTATCCAACCCAAGGACACTTCCAACATGAAAACCAGAGGAGGCAGACAGTGAACCGCCAACTTCATGATTAGCGGACGACCCGCTTTACCTCCTGAGCCACAGCCAATAAAACTCAACTACTTCTGCCAGCTGAGGCTTCATGGTCTCTGGAGGGTTTGGTCTTAAACGCCTGTTATCACAATTTTATAGCATGTAATAGCTTTTATCATTTGAAGAATAATATTTATGTCTTTGAAAATACTTTGACAAAGGCTGGGGTCGATTGGGGTCTCTTCATCTAGTATAAGCAGACCTGCCATCATTTAAAGATGCTGTAAATTAACTGTTGTGACTGGATCTTTTGTGACATCAGTGAAAGGGGTTCGTGTTTCATATCGGAAGCAGCGCTCTAAAAATCTTGTATGAAATGCAACAGATAGACTTTATTATTTTATATTATTACACATGCACACTTCAGAGGAGAAAGGATATTGAAAGATTTTGGTCATGCAGCAGTAACATCCAGTGAACATCCTTACCACAACCAGTCATCTTTTCGGCAGTCATCTGATCGCTTGCATCAAGTGTCGTTTGTGTGTCATCATCCTCTCCTTCCTCATTCTTCTTCTTCCAGGATACAGTTACTGTGGGGGCATTTCCTTTAACTTTTATCACAGTGTCCGTCTGACGATCTGAAAAGATATTTTAATTACTCACACAGCTCAAGTGCAGACACCCTGTGTGACAGTAACTCACCGGCCACCTCAGTGGGTACACCTGCCCAACTGTCCACTAAATATCTAATCAAATATTACATGGCAGCACCGCTGTTGAATTTAGGCAGGTGGACATGATCCAGATGTCCTGCTGAAATGGTAAATGGCCTGTATTTATATAGCGCTTTACTAGTCCCTAAGGACCCCAAAGCGCTTTACATATTGTGGGATTATAATATTATTTTATGCCATGTTAGACCCCTAATTAAAGATTGTGAATTATTATGTAGTTTTAGTTTGCATTATTCTCCTGAATTAGAAGAAGGTGCTAACTATTGCATTTGTTAAACTGATTTGCATTACATTAGACTGCTGATTTATTGTGAATGAATGATATTGTTTTATGATGCATGATACTGCTGAGTTATAAGAAATACTGTTCGCAGAAAGTCATCGCCTTATTTGTCTGATTAGAAGAGAACAGAACATACTGGAGTTTTCTGCCCCATCTCAGCAGGAGCAGATAAACAGGGAGCCAAGGTCGTAGCTTAGGCGCCGTGTGAGAGAAAGAATGTGAATGTTTAGGCTTTTATGATTAGGTGGGGCTATATGATTAGAGGCTATAAGAGTTTGATCAATGCTCCACCATTTTGAGATCTGATGCTGTCTGCGTACGGTGTCCATCTCCCACGCGTGTGATCATTAAAATCATCGTTTGACTCGACCCGGCCGGACCAGTGTTGTTATTTTGGCTTTTCCTCTTGTATCCATCCCCAATATATTGAATCCGTAACAATATCCAGTCATCCACCCATGATAACAAGATGGCGCGGCCACGTCCAGACGCCTTCCTGACCGCTCCGCTCCGGTTACATTTCACTGTGTGTTATACTTGTATAACTATGCATGTGACAAATAAAGAACCTTGAACCATTCACACACACATTCACACACTGGTGATGGCAGCTACATTGTAGCCACAGCCACCCTGGGGCGCACTGACAGAGGCGAGGCTGCCGGACACTGGTGCCACCGGGCCCTCTGACCACCACCAGTAGGCAACGGGTGAAGTGTCTTGCCCAAGGACACAACGACCGAGACTGTCCAAGCCGGGGCTCAAACCGGCAACCTTCCGATTACAAGGCGAACTCCCAACACTTGAGCCACGATCGCCCCTCAAATTCAAATCGAGCACCAGAATTGGGAAACGTAAAGTCATCTTAACTTGCAAGTTTAAGTGACTTTGAATGTCGCATGATTGCTCATGCCAGATGGGTGGATCTGAGTGGAAACTGCTGATTAATTATTAATTTCCCACATAATCATCACTATGATTACAGAAAATGGTCTGAAAAAGAAAATATCTGTAGGCGGCAGTTCTCTGCGTCAAAATTCCTTGTTGGGGTCAGAGGTCAGAGGAAAATGGCCAGACTGATTTAAGATAATAAGATGGCAACATTAACACAAATAGTCAGTTGTTATAACCAGGAAAATGCCGACGAGCACCTCTGAAAGCACAACATCTTGACACTTGGAGCAGATGGACAACAACAGCAGAAGACCACACTGGGTATCACTCCTGTCAGCTAACAACAGGAAACTGAGGCTACAAGCTCACCAAAAATGAAAAATAGAAGTAAGAAAAACATTGCCTGGTCTGATGAATCTCTATTTCTGCAGCAACAGTTAGGTGGAAAGGACGGAGTTTGACATAAACAACATGAAAGCATGGCTCCATCCTCCCTTGTATCAACAATTTCCGGCTGCGGGTGGTAGTTTAATGTTGTTGGGGATAATTTCTTGGCACACTTTGGTACCAGTACCAGAGGACTGTTTAAACACCACAGCCTACTTGAATATTGTTCTGGTCATGTCCATCCCTTTATGACCACAGTGTATCCATCTTCTGATGGCTGCTGTCAGCAGCATAACAAACCATGTCACAAAGCTCAAATCATCTCAAACTGCTTTCTTAAACATGACAGTAATTTCATTGGACTCCCCAAATGGCCTCCACAGTCACCAGATCTCAATCCAAAAGAGCATCTTTGGGATGTTGTAGAACAGGAGATTCACATCAACTGTGCAACTAACAAATCTGCAGCAACTGCGTGATGCTGTCATATCAATATGGACTAAAATCTCTGAGCAATGTATCTATCGCCTTGTTGGATCTGTGCCACAAAACAGTAAGTTAGTTGTGCAGGCAAAACTATACGCCAGTTGTACCTTATAAAGTGTCCGCTGAGATCATAAAGATTGAAGGACTTATAGTTACTAACATTATTCAGCTCAAACAGTTACCGGTATGTTCACTGTGAATTTCTACATATTAATAGGGATTTACTTGCCAGTGTCAGCTGTGTCCTCTTGTATAACTTTGCTCTGTTTTTTTCTCCGTCTCGTAGCCTGAAACAAACACAACAGTTTCAGTGAACGATTTACTATTTACGTTTACCAAAAACCCAACTTGAAGTCTGTAAATTCCTTTGCGATGTCTGACAAAACGCTGCTAACGGCAGAGATGTTCGTGTTACTTTTAGCATTTTTATCATTAAAGACAGAAAAATTAACTCTTCCCTAAATAGCTGGCCTTTCTAATGTAATAACGGTATTATATCCGAGTACTCGACTATAATCAGACTCATGTTTTGTACAATTTTAATTATGATAATTCACAAGTTAACCGACTGCTAGCTCCTGAGTTCGCACTGACCCAAAAAAACAACGTGATATAAACGCGTAACACAATGCATTATTATCACATCAAAGCCTGTTTGTGTAAGTTGCACAAATGCGGTATAACTCTTACGTCTGTTTTTGCCATATTAAACGTTTAAATAGCACAAAATCACAGGCTGAAACAATTGTAGCGTCAGTCAGAACCATACACGCGTGCTAGGATGAAAACATCCACATGCTACCGGACTTGAGTACCGTACTGCGCATGCGTACGATGTACTCTACGGATGCCCGCACAGAAACACGCTTTCGGGTAAGTTTACGCGGTTTTACGACTACTACTTTCGTTATTCCTTGCTGATAATTAGACTACCGTTTGCGCTACCGCACGGTGAGGGGAGTAGATCCCGGAAACAGAGAAGGTTAGAATAAAGCGGTTAGACAGATTTGGGGATATTTTTGGAAGCTAATTACTATTTAAATGTCTTCTAGCCAGTTAGCCCTAGCTTAACTTTTGAGTTTGGTGAACTTGTGAAAAGCATTTCGGCTCCAGCCAAACTTTGGACCCATTTTCACTTTTAGCTACTGAAATTTGTGATGCGAATGTTTGCTCTACTGGAAAATCATGCTGTAGCAATCTGTTGACTCAAACAGGCTGAACTGGAACCCGAGTCCAAAGGTGGAGTTACAGTCCCAACACGAAACCCGGTGCAGATAAGCTACTATCGGATTAAACGAGCAATTCAGGTTGTACACAAGACCACAATGAGTTGATCACAAATGGCGTGGGACAGCACTGAGACAAAATAGGACACACTTTCCCACAATGGGGAGCCACAGGAACGGTTTCAAGAAGGAAAGCTACATTTTGTCGGTGGACGTGGGCACAACGTCAATCAGATGCCACGTCTATGACAAGGAGGCAAAGATCCAAGGATCATGCTCTACAAAGGTATTCATCTGTTCTGCCTTTTTAATTCCTCACATAAACCACCTACTTGGTAAATTAAATGCAGCATCCACACAAACTTGATCTTTCCCCAGGTTGTGCTCCTCTATCCAGAGGTAGGACATGTGGAGATGGACCCAGATGACCTGTGGAAAGGGTTTATCTCTGTGGTTAAAGGAGCCGTGCAAGGTACATCTGCTCCAATTCCTACTTTTATGTCAATCCGGAGATGTGCCATGAAAAAGTGTTTGTCCCCTTCCTGATTTCTAAGGTTTTTTGTATATTGGTCACACTTGAATCTAAAGATAAACTCTTTTATTTGCCATTGTTGCACTAGGTCAGGGTACCTTGGAAATCTCGTGGATAATGGCTATCACTGTGGTTCAGTGAGTCCCAAAGCCTTAGAAATGGCTTTGTAACCATTTCTAGGCATGTCGTAATACAAGCATAATAGATAAAACACTACCGAAGTTTCCCATAGTTCATTTAGTTTTGTTGTCAAAGAGAAAATTGCGTGCGAAAGATCATATACTGATATTCCAGTTAAGCACACTTGGCTTTTAGATTTTTTTTAATTGTTCTTTTTTTTAATCATTTACTGCAATGTGAATGTCTTATGTTGGAATTTTTTTAGAAAACGATCCTTGTCCTTCTTTTTCTCTGCCTAACCGTTTTGTGCTCGTGTTGCTGTCCTGATCATATAGATGCAGGAATACAAATGCACCAGATAGAGGCCCTTGGGATCTCCACTCAGCGCAGTACCTTCACAACATGGGACAGGTGAATAGCTTTGCTCACATACCTACTTTAGCACATCTTTGAATAATTCATGCCCTACGCTGGCTTTTCCTCTAGCTTGTTTCTCATCTCCTCCTCCGCTTTGACAGGAGAACTGGGGTTCCTTTCCACAACTTCATCAGCTGGCAGGATCAGAGAGCTGCAGACCTGGTGAAGTCCTGGAACAGATCCTGCACCATGAAAGTGAGGCTGCTCCCCATTTCTATCTTTCATGATCTTTAGTCAATAGATTGGACTTTAAACGGCAAAGGCAGGAAAAAATTTCAAATAAATATGATGTTCCCATGTAAACTCAAAATTCTTTTCAACCAGTGCTGGGTGTGCTTTTTGTTTATCCATCTTATTTGTTTGTTTGTTTTTACAAAAAATCTCAGGCAATCCATGGTGCAATGAAGGTCCTCTACTTTGTTACCAGGCAGAAACGGTTGCTTGCAGCAAGTCTCATCGTCTTCTCCACTCAGCATGTCACTTTTCGCCTCGTCTGGGTCTTGACACATTACAAACAGGTGCGTGGAAGGGTTAACTAACGGGCTTGTGCTCAAAAGTAGAGTAACACAGTTGCACACATTTGCATGCATAACAACTGGGAACAATGTGGGCCACTGTTTAATTGCAATCAAACAATTCGTTTATGTGTGAAAAATCACAACTAAACGATGAATTCAGGAACAGTGAGTGCACTGAAAAGTTGAAGTTCCCTCATATTTGACGGAATATAACAAATCATTCATTACTATTAAGGGTTAGGGTTAGACTCTTACAGTTGTTACCATCAGTATAAGAGAATAAATAACTATTTACCATTTGTAAAGGATTTTCCAACCACTAGTCTGTATGTATTTTTAATACATATTCAAAGTAGATTTGTGGAGTAATAATCAGCTATCTCCTGTGCATGGATAATATCAAGCTGTACAACCGGCATGAGTGAGACATTGACTCATTGATCCTCAGCCTGAATAAGTGTGACTCAGTGGTGTCAGAGTGTGGGAAGGTGATCCACACCAAAAGGTTTTCGAGAATGCAGGATGACAAGCACATAGAACAGCTACAAGTACCCACAGTCCTTTGGGTTCCACAATGAAGATCTAAGACAAGTCATTTAACTGTAATATTAAACAGGAGGAGATACACTGATATGTCAAGACACAAAAAACCTGCTCACAATGGACGGAGGTCTCCACCCAAAATCTGACACCCTGAGGCTGTGCAAGTAGCGGAAAGAGGTGAGGCAAGGATTAGACGGTGACGGAGGATGCATGACTAGGTTAGGAAGATGGTTCCACTTGAGATGAAGAATACTTCAGGCAGTTGAAGAAAGATGATGGTGAGGGAAAGGAGGAGGAAGCATTGTAAAAGACCAAAAGCCTGCATTGGGATGTACCATCGACAGGTACAGGAAGTGGCTGACATCAAGAAATCCCAGCAGGGGCTAGAAAAACGTTGGCTTTAAGGACAGCACAGAAGCTCTGATAATGGTGGCAGAAGAGCAAACCCTAAGCACCAGATTCTGAGATAAACAGAGAAGTGCCAGTGGCTGAAGGAACAACTGGACCAGATGTGGAAGATACAGTTCAAAATGGTCCCAGTGGTAACACCAGCATCAGGAGCTATAACCCTAAAAGTGGATGAGTGGCTCCAGCAGATTGAGGACACATCAGAGATTTCTGTCCAGAAGAGTAAAGTCCGAGGACAGCTCGGCTAAAGCGGAATTTATGCTTTGCATGTTCACAGTCCACCGCCAATCAGGGGATGGCCCGTCTACCTACAGAGAACTCTGTTGTTAATGGAGGCAGAATACAAAGTATGTGGTATAACTGGTTTGTGGGCTGATTGCTGTGTGCTGTTTGTGGTCCGTCAGCCACCTGCAGGGAAGAGCAAGGTTCAAATATACAAAGCGCTGAAGTCAAACAAAGAGTCCACTGCAGCCACTCTCAAAGCTTCTGTATTATTATTTTTTTTATGTTTTTTTGTGTGTTTGTTCGTTTGGTTGTTTTTTTTATGCTTCTCCCGTTCCCGGTGTACTCCGCTTTCCTGCTCTGGCCCACTTATCAACCAATCAGCATTCAGCATCCAGCGACATGCAGTTAGGATTTTGGAGGACTGCATGGGAGCACGGCTGTGATGGGAGAAAAGCCCTCAGGTCTCGCTGTCCGAACAGAAACGTGTACGCAGACGGACACATTTACAGGAACATAAATTACGCTTGAGATGCTGCGCAGAACCCTCGCTCCCAGCTTGTCCCTCTTAAGAAACACAAACATGCTACGCCCCAGGAGGGAGGTTTTTATTTATGTAAAAATAAACTTGTGTTGATGCCCTTATGAACCAAAGAGTTGATTAATAAAAAAGGAAAGGAGAAGCCTCAGTATTAGATGGCCCACAGCATTCTTCTGTTTTCAGCCTCGTCATGTTTCTTTCTTCTTTCAGGTTTGTCAAGCAATAGATGAAGGTTACTGCTGCTTTGGGACAATAGACAGCTGGCTCCTGTTTAAACTCACAAAAGGTGGGTTTGCATTGTTTAGCTTGGTTTCCCAGACATCGAGTAAGCCTAGACTAAAAACACTTTTTCTTTTTTTCTTTCCTTTCAGGGGAGAGTTTTTTTCTAGCTATTCTCGTTTAGTCTCTTGAACTCAGTGACATCTAAAACAAGTTCAGTAATATAAGATTTGTGCAGTGAACTGTGATTTTTGTACAGTTCCTAACAGGATAATAATCCCCAGACAGAATGTCCTTTGTCTTATCAATCCTACTGTGTCACTGATTGGCTGAAATTCCTCAGGAATGTTTCGGCTCACTCCTGGGGAGGAGATTTGGAAAAGTGACAAGCAGCTCGAGTTTTTTGTTAATTAACCTTTCTTTTAGAGAATGATTATATGCATCTCCTAATCTGTTTCAGGACACCTGCATGCCACCGATTACTCTAATGCCAGTTCAACAGGGATTTTCGACTCTTATCAGGTCTGGTGTCAGTCATAATTATTTACTGTTTATTCTGTGGTTGGTTTGAGTTTGTCTTTTTATATCCCTGTAATGTGACTTGCTTCATAGATGTGCTGGAGTGGGTTTCTTTCCTCTCTTGTGTCCCTGCCGCTCTCTATTTTCCCCAAAGTAGAAAATACGGGGTGAGTGGACCATTCGCTTCCAGTTTGTTCATGTTTTAGCAAAAGTCGCTCATATTAATAAACATGATCACATTTGTCTTTGTATTCTATGGTTTTTTTATGTCCCTGCTGAGTCTGAGACATGCTTGTTTTTGTTATTGTTTGTCTTTTTGTTTGATTCAAAGTCTATCTGTCTAAATTTAATGAAACTTTGTGGAGACAGTGAGTATCAATAAAGGAAGAACCTATCAATGTTTAATGCGGTTCCATATGAGACGCTGACTTTGGCAGAGAATCCAAGAGCCCTTCTTTTTATACCTATTTATATATAGATCAATGGGTCCCAACTTTTATCCATGCACAGTGTTATAATATGCAAGGAAGTGGGGGAAAAGAGATTGTGATTTTTCTGTTTTTTCTCTAAAAGATTTTTCTTGAGAAACACTGAGTGTGTGCCACAATCCCACATGATCACATTTAATGTGACATGTTTGCTTTCTCGCAGCTGGTGGAAGCAAACATCTGTGTGCATAAGAAAAATGTATACATTAAAGTTCAAATGCACTGACTGAAAATGTACACTGTCAACAGTCACTTCAATATGTTAGTTAGAGAGTTATAATTAAAGATTCAATTAAACCCAACCTTTGCAATATACAGTAAGCATAAAGCGGAGCATCTCGTTATGTCCTTTGCCTTCAGTTTGCCTTTAGAGTAAAGCTCTGAAAGAGACTGTGAGACGATTCAATTCAATTTGATTTAAATCACAACAACAGTCACCTCAGGGTGATTTATATTGTAAGGTAGACCCTACAATAGTACATAGAGAAAAAACCCCAGCAATCATATGACCCCTCCCCCCATGAGCAAGCATTTTAGAGACAGTGGGAAGGGAAAACTCCTTTCTAACCAGAAGAAACCTCCAGCAGAGCCAGGCTCAGGGAGGGGCGGCCCCAGCCACGACCGCTTGGGGTGAGAGAAGGAAGCATCGTGATGCATTGTGTCTGATTTCTCCGGTTTCTTGTCTTGACACCACAGCCATGACTTTGGTTCCACAGACCCATCCATCTTTGGCGTGCCCATTCCTATCATGTCAGTGGTGAGTCAACATCTGACCGTCACACAATCTCTTGTCTGCATTGCAAACCTCTAACTGCTTAAACCTGGGATTTCACCACCATTATGTTGTAACAAAGATGTCTTGCAAAGTTAGCTAATCAACAGCTGATTGCACGTCATCCCTGCACTCTACTTCACTTCCCTTAATTGCAAGTTTTCAACATTCATTGTCATCAAAACTTTCAATTATCTCCTCTGTCCATGTGCCTTAGATGGCAGACCAACAGGCAGCCATGTTTGGAGAGTGCTGCTTTGATGTTGGTGATGTGAAGATCACCATGGGAACAGGCACCTTCATGGACATAAACACTGGGAGCAAACCACATACATCTGTAGCAGGTAAAGAGTCCACACATACATTCATATTCACCCATTCAGGCTAATCATAACCTCTGACCTCTCTTTACAGGTCTGTATCCTCTTGTGGGGTGGAAGATCGGCTCAGAGGTGGTGTACCTGGCAGAGGGAAATGCAGCCGACACAGGGACCGCCATCAAATGGGCACAGAAGCTGGGTGAGCAGTGAGGCGTATAGTGTGAAAACACCACGCAGGACTAATTCATCCATCTTTAAATCATAGTCGGTTTTCCTCTTCCACACTGAATACCGAGCGTGGCAGTGACGGACAGAGCCGGGGATTGTGTGTGACACCTGTGTGTGTGCTGTTTCAGAGCTCTTCTCTGATGTCAGAGAGACCAGCACCATGGCTTACAGTGTCAGTGATTCAGATGGAGTGTGTTTTGTTCCTTCCTTCAGCGGCCTGCAGGTCTGTGCACTTTTTGTTTTTCTGCTGTAAGCGTGTGTTTCTTATTACGTGTAGTTTCTTTTAACTCAACACTCATTCATTTCTTTATTTCATTTATCTCTCTGTAACATGGTGTCTCTTTTCTTTTTTTTTTGCTGCCCTCCATTGTGAACTCGCCCTTGTAAGTGTTTATGCTGGATGCTAAATGCTTATAGTTAGACACGCAAAAGCTACTTTTCGACAGTAACCCTGCAGAGCTGCGTAACAGCACGTCTGCTGACCAACAATTTTTGAGCTTGACTTTAAGACACAAAGACCGTTTAGAGACCTTTTTTTTTTTTTCTTTCATCCTTTCTTTAACGACTGCAGTTTATTAACTGTTGGTGTAAATGTTTTATTAAAGGCTCCTCTGAATGATCCAAAAGCATGCGCTTCCTTCATGGGCCTAAAACCATCTACTACTAAACGCCACCTGGTCCGGGCCATTCTGGAGTCAGTTGCCTTCAGGTGAGGCATTTTCAAAAGATTAAATACTTTGCAAAAGTCTTGAGCTATCACTCATTTGGTAAATATTTTTGCTTCCAAGAGCAAAGAGCAAGTTTCAAAGTTTTTTTTTTTATTGAAAAACTTTGTTTTTTTTTAACTCCTTCTCAGTCCTGTCCTTGTACCCGACCATTTTTAGCCGTGTTTGGAGTTTTTGGTAAGCTGCATAAAACTGATCTGTAAATCATTCAAGTATTAAAAAGGCACCTAACTCAAGGGAGGAACCAGTGTTGTGTCTACTCATAGCAGACAACTTTGTTACTAGCAGCTGGTCACAAAAACGCGTAATCTTTTTCAATTTCTGTAGAAGAATCTATGAAAATGTTAAATAACACACTTCTTATATTGGCATCAAATATTTTTGCACCACACAATAACTCCCAAAGAGCTATTAGCTGAAACCTTGGCATATTTTGGAAGAGTGTGCAAGTATATCCTTAGAAATGTTGAGGAAACTGGATAAGTGGAGGACAGAATAAGAAATGTTCGACCTAATAACTATCTAGCAGATACAGTGTATCTGAAAGTCATGTCCTGAAGACATAAGAAAAAAATGTATTTTCAAAAAGGAAGAAAGGCTGAGGTAGGCCAAATTACACAAGTACTGGAGTAAAAATCAGCCACAACAGGTCCGATGGAGTGATGAATGCAAATTTGACATTTTTGGTTCCAAATGTATGAAGGAGTTCAGGAGAGAGGTGAGTGTCCACAGCCATCTGTAAAACACAGGAGAGACTGTGTCATGGTTTGGGGCTGAATTTCAGACGGTGGAATTAGAGATCTTTAAAAATCTGGAAAGCCTCAGTGGCTTCATTTTCTAACCTGATAATGATCCTTAACACTTGTGGAGAACTGTTCCTGAAGAGTGTTTAAAGAGATTAAAAATTGTGTTAAAGATTAACGGTGGTCAGACTTGCAATCACGCTGGGATTGTACAAACTCCTCTTTTGCCTTAAGAGCTGTATTCTCATGTATGATTGCACCAATTTCCTAGTTTTCGAGTCCAACATAGTGAAATGAGGGTGGCTCAAGACTATT